TCGATATATCGAACACTAAACTATCGACTACTGAAATCGAATCTGACAAAATGGTGGATCTTCATCTTTCATCACAATCTCAGCCTGAAAACTCATCTAACGTTCTAGAAGAGTGGACGAAACCCAAAAATAGGCACAGAAGTTATGCTTCTGCTACAAAAAATGCATGCAGCAATGTCACTGCAGGAAATAAACGAAACTCTTTGGATTTGAACAACAAAAACGATGACAAAACAACTCCCGTCAGACGAATTGTTGGCAACACTGAAAATAGGAAAAAAGTAAAATCCAATTCCAATGTTGTAATCGGAACTTCTGATGGAAACGAAATAATAGCTGCTGGACAGAAGAAAGCCTGGATTTTTGTAGGCCGATTAAAGGGTGATACTACTACCGAAGCTGTTAGCGACTTTGTGAAAAAGTCATTTCCTAACATTGCAGTGACTGCAGAAAAGCTGGAAACTAAGGGTTTTAATGCAAGTTTTCGTCTCTCCGTTGACTTTGACCGAAAGGATGAGCTAATGAACCCTGCCATTTGGCCTAAAAATACCTTGGTGAAGCGTTTTTTATTCCGCCGAGTGGGGAACAAACCTCACACGTAGTAAAAGCAGACGACTCGCCTAAGCCGAAGCCTATTGAGATTGAGGTAAATAACACTCACACCATCGTAAACTATCGCAAGCACCAAGATATTACTATTTGTGCTCTTAATGTCCAGTGCCTAAGGAATAAAAGTGAACTTGTGTCCCTTTTTGTAGAAGAAATTAAATGCGATATCCTTTGTGTCTCAGAGCATTGGCTAGCAAATGGCGAAGAGTGTTATTACACAAACTTAGCTAACCTCAAACTTGTAAATATTTTCTGTAGAAGTGAAAGACTCCATGGTGGTGTTGCTATTTATAGTACCTGTGACCTAGCATGCAAAGAAATAGACACTGTGAGATTCTGTGTAGAACTCGAACTTGAAGTGACTGCAGTCCTGTTGTTGGACTACTCAACTGTTGTGCTGTCTGTGTACAGATCCCCAGACGGTAAAGTGGATCTCTTCCTTGATCTGCTGGACTCCTGCTTACACTACCTGCTGAACACTCTTAAACCTGAGAAAATTGTCCTATGTGGTGACTTCAATATTCACCTCGAGTGTCACTCCAGTGATGAGGAACTTTTCTCAAACCTACTTCGCAGCTATGGGCTATACTTCACTACCAGACAACCCACTCGTGGGCAGGCGTGCCTTGACTCCATAGCAACTAATATAGACTCCTGGGACTGGAAAGTGGACATCAGGGAACCTGTTGTGGCAGACCACAGTGCAGTTTTGGTTAATATAAGCTCCAACAAGGTAAGCCTCAGCTCAAATAAACCTGATTGGTATACAAAGTATGTTAGTGTTAAAAGGGCCATTAATGACAATGATATGCCTCTATTGTGTCACAAATTATTCAATATTTGTTGGACCTTACCAAATGTTCGTTCCGAACCTGAAGTAGAATTTAACAACTTTTTTGACATTTTCATGGAAAATTTTAACCAAATTTTTCCTCTCAAAGTTGTGAAGGCCAAGCCCCGTTTAACCAACAAATCCCAACTTGATAAATCCTGGTACACCCAGGAACTGGCCAAAATACGTTCTTATATCGGCATCTTACATGATTTCTATAAGACGTCTACTGTTCCTGAACGGAAAGAAAGACTCCATGTTTTGTACCTCCAAACCAAAAGACTTTATCGCTCTAAAGTAAATGAAGCAAAAAAAAGCTACAATGTGTCTAAGATAAAGGAGGCGTCCAACACCTGCAAAGCAGCATGGGACATTGTAAATTCTCATCGGTCTCCTAGACCTAAGACTGTAGCAGATGTTTCTCCTGATGATTTCAACAACTATTTCTCCCAAATCGCTGATAATGTTGTAGTCAATCTACCTGTTTTGCAGACTGACCCGGCGGCTTCCCTCCTGGATGTCTCATCTGTCTACAAATTAAACCATTGGAATAAGGTGAGCCCTAGCTTTATTATTAAGCTTGTTAGAGGTTTTAAAAGCTCAAATAGCCAGGATGTTTTTGGTGTCTCCTGCTCAGTTCTAAAGGCTGTTGTTCCTGGTTAAGGAACAATACAGTTTTTAAGCCTTTTAACCGCCTTTTTTCTTTTTTATTAATATTTATATTACAAGTCAGCATTAAGTCATCAGATATAGTACAACAAATCGTTAGTACCAGTTGCGAATAATTTGACTTAAGCTGGCTTGAGCTCATTTTATGTTTGAAGTTGAGAGGATCCATCCTCTCACGGATATTATCAACCTCTGTTTGAGAAACGGCTGTTTCCCTGATGTGCTTAAGACTGCGCGGGCCATCCCTGTCTTCAAAAAAGGTGACCCCTCACAGCTGTCTAATTACAGACCTATTGCCATACTGCCTGCTCTCTCCAAAGTAATCGAGTCTGTAATGAAGGTACAGCTGATTGAGTATTTTGAGTCTAATAGCCTACTTATAGATGCCCAGCACGGCTTTAGGAAGGGACGATCCACCACGACAGCCCTGGTTAGCCTGGTCGACCAAATCACCGATGCTTTTGAAGCCAGAGATTCAATCCTGCTTAACATGTGTGACTTAAGCAAAGCTTTTGATGTGGTGTCCCATGAAATCATCTTGTCCAAGCTCAGGAAGTATGGGGTAACTGGCGTGGTCCTGCAGACAATTAACTCTTATCTTGAAGGTCGTAAGCAAGTCGTCTCCTACGGCGGTGCAACATCTGGTGTAAAGCTGTTAAGACACGGAGTCCCCCAGGGCTCGGTCCTTGGCCCCCTCCTCTTTACTATCGTCATAAATGATTTATCTTTAAATAACCAAACCTTACTATTTGCAGACGACACCACTCTGATCACGAGAGGCAGGGACCTAAACCAAATACGCACTGATGCAGAACGCCTTCTTACTAGTGCAAAGGAGTGGTTCAATCAGAATTTGCTAAAGATAAATGACTAGAAGACTCAATCACTGCTGTGCACACTCAAACCAAACCATCTGGGTGAGGAAGCTGTTAAACTCCTTGGCTTCTGGATCGACTCCAGGTTAGGTTGGAAACACCACATCAGCCAGGTATGTGTCAAACTTGCCAGAGTGGTCTATCTCCTAAGGAAACTTGTGTTGGTCATCACTAAACCGTACTTAGTCACAGTGTACCACGCCCTCTTTCAAAGCCATGTAAGCTATGGCATTGCACTCTGGGGCCATACAGCTGCAGCACATAACATCTTGCTTCTTCAGAAGATGGCTTTGAGGGTGATTACATCCGCCGGGCATCGTGACCACTGTAGGCCTATCTTCAAAGACCTAAAGGTTCTGACCATCTACAGCCAGTACGTATTAAATAGTATGGTGCTACTCAAAGAAAATTCGGCAAATCTTGCTCGACGTGAGGACCAGCATTCCTATCAAACGCGACATGGCCATCTCATTGACCTACCTAGATGCCGACTAGCCTGGACTCAAAAGGGCTACCCCTACTATACAAGTAAGCTCTATAACACGCTCCCAATTGAAGTGCGCGAGCTGGACATTGGGGCCTTCAAGGACACCCTGAGAGACTATCTGGTGGGCAGACCTCTATACTCACTAAGTGAGCTGGACGACACACCACTTTTTGGCAACCCGCCGCCATCTTAGTTAAATTTTTGTAAATAATTTTTGTAAATAGTAGTATTATTATATGTGACGCAATCTATTCCGACTTTGTCGGTCAACGATGCAGTATTCAAGTATCCAAGTATCCAAGTAAGTAAAAATCCAAGTATCAAGTATCCAAGTATCCAAGTATCCAAGTATCCAAGTATCCATTATGGTTATGGTAGATGTGTAATACAACTAGTATACCGTCTATTTAAATAAGCAAATTTTAATTTTATCAAACTTTGTCCTCCCAAATTGCAAACGCAAATCTTGAGTATAACTGTAATAAGTATTTTAAACTTATATGCCAACCCCGTACGAAGAACGGGTACTCTGCTAGTAGTATATATATTTGTTTTTCATTTTTCATTACTCAGTTCCGAATAATTAGTGTTACTTAGCTGTTAGCATGTATTCATAAAGCATGACCAAATAGCAAGATGTAAAACTTACAGCATGTTAATAGTATTTATTGATCCACAAATTGTTATGCATGTAATTGATTGTACAAATGGTGATTTTGCCGTAAATAAATAAATAAATAGATGTTGCCACTCCGAAGGCCGCGGCCTGGGGTCCATTTCATAATAAAGTACAAACTAATATTATTAGTAAATCAGCCGATCGCCCATAATGCAAATTTAATGGAAATTACAAGTTACAAGTTGTAACTTGTAACTTGTAGTTTATTATGAAATGGGCCCCTGGAGTTAAAGGGGGCCGTGACTTATCCCTATAATGGGAAATTCGCTAAACAGATTGAAGCATAGATAATACCTAAGGGAGTATGTTTTATCTATGATAATACATACTCCCTTACTCAAACGAGTAATATAACATTCTCGGTTAGTAGATTTCTCATCTTTATGGAACAGCTGAAGCATAGATAAAACATAGAGTATGTTTTATCTATGGCTGAAGCCAATCTTATTGTTAGTTCTGTCCGGAGCACTGTAGAGTTCGTGTTTTGTTTACAATTTGTTTCTTGTTATTTCTGTCATTTAAAAACCCGTTTAGCCAAATAAACCGGTATTACCATAAACAATAACTCATCCTCTAGTTTTCAAAACATTAAAGCATAAATAAATCATGAAATTAATTCTAAAATAATAGAAAAAAAATTAATTTCGTCAACACTAGCCATCAGTGTCACCGGACATGAACTAGACACGAAAAACCAGCTTCAAAATTTACAATGGAAGGGGAAGTCTACTTCTGTTGGTTAGTTTGTTGTTAGCACTATGATTGAAGTTAACAGCGGAGTGAAGTGGAGTGGGCAGTGGGAGTGAACTAAGTGTGTGTTGACTGGAATTGTGGTGGGGTGGAGGTGAATTCGAGCCAAGTAGAGAGAGAAATAAGTACGACAGTAAAAAAAAAGAAGAACATATAAAATATTTTCAAATGGTACAAAAAATTAGAGTCTTTCCTTTCACTTAAACATAACCATAACAACAAACAACAGTGTTCTAAAATTTAATAACTTTAAGTTACAGTTACCAGTAACACTAAAGTGTGTTTTATTTCGTTTACGTGCTTAAATAAAAAGACCATTAAGGCTGGAGAGTGGAGACTTTAATGGTGAATGTAGGGCTAGTTAGTTTTTGTTGGGTCATAGATGAGGTACTCTACTAACCATTGGTACTACACATAGCCCACTAGGCCTAGGCCTAGGCCTAGCTTTATGTTGCCATTATAAAATGAAGCTACGACAAAAAAATAATTAGGCTGTGGCTCACCGTGTCCAGCTTGCCTGAAAATAGGTTAGCTAGGCTAGGCTACATTTAACCATTGACTATATTATTTAGGTTAACTTAGGCCTAATTCTACTGCACAATGATGCCATACAAAAAATTACCTACTCGTACATACAGTAGGCAATGTAAATACAAAGAAGATGGTACTTGGAGTCTTGGCAGTGGAGAGATACCTGTTGAATATGAATCTGCTTGTCGATTGTGTTTGGGTAAATCTGACATTATGACATATATATACAGTGATGAAGAGAGTGTAGTGCCAATCAAAACCAAGGTTAAAAATCTTCTTGAAATTGAAGTAAGTAACTTAGCTTATTATTTGCTTCATTCTAGGCCTAGCCTAATATTAATGTGGGCCTGGGCTTAGGCTACTAACTTATAAGCTAGTTATAAGTTAGGTGAAAAAATTAAATCTATTGGCCCGTTGTAAACCAGGCTGACACTGTAATAGTTTAGGCCTACTTAGGGTAGTAAGTTACTAGAGCCATGGGGAATAGGAGTAGGCCTAAACCAACGATCACACAAGACCAATAGGCCTAAGTTAGATGGAGCTAGGAGCTGCACTTAAGTAGTCCTTATCTGTCCTCATTCAAATGAATAACTTATCTTGTGTATTTCATTCGATAGGCCTATAACTTTTAACTTATCAAGTTTGGTTAGTTAGGTTAACCTAACTTAACTGAATGAAATATTTTTTTGATATACAGTAGAGTCCCGCAAACTCGGCGTAGCGTTGACTGGAAGGGTGCCGAGTTTGTGAAATCCCGGGTTATCGGGAACTAGCCTGGTTAAGGAACAATACAGTTTTTAAGCCTTTTAACCGCCTTTTTTCTTTTTTATTAATATTTATATTACAAGTCAGCATTAAGTCATCAGATATAGTACAACAAATCGTTAGTACCAGTTGCGAATAATTTGACTTAAGCTGGCTTGAGTCCATGATTAACACGGACTCAAAAAATCACTAATTTTCTGAGCCAGGTGATGGCCGAGTTATCCAGACTGCCGGGTTATCGAGTGCCGAGTTTGCGAGACTACTGTATCAAACTATAATATATATTTCATTTGAATGAGTGTAGAATGGATACTTAAGTGCTGCCGAGCTCAGTGGCTGCAGGCAGTGATGAGCCCTAGGTAGCGACTGCAACTAGGGCTTATTACATGTTAACTTAGGCCTAACTTAACTGTCAACAATAACTTAAGTACCGGTAGGCCTACCGGTACTTAAGTATCTTACCATATTGAGTTAACACGACAATCTTCAAAACAAGCTTTTAAATTTTTTTATAGCTGTTATCAATTTTTCATTAGGCCTAAACTTACTTATTAAACACCCGTAGCCTATGAAATGTTTCATGTAAGTTAAGTTAGCCCTAGGTGACACATTTATGTTCCTTAGCTTAAGTTAGTTAGTTAACTGAAATTGGACGAATCAATGCCTTTGATTTTATGTACTAATCAAAGGCATACGCCCCTCTACACGTGAGGCGGCAACACTCAGACCTACTGACACTCTTCAAGTTGGTCAATGGCCTCCTGGACTGTCCGGATCTACTCTGCGGCATCCACTTGCAGTCAATGATATAAGTTATTACTACTAAGTTAAGTTATTACAAAACTATTGTGATTAAATTTGTAATTAATTTTGTTAGAATAACCAAACTTATAATTAACTTAATTTCAATCCCTGTGATATTCCTAACTTCATAGTTGAAGTTAATTTATTTAGCACTCTTGGCAATATTCGTCAAAGCCTACAGTAGGCCTATACTCTGTGACATTGGTAGCCTTGAACCTTATCTAAAGCACAGGATATTTAAGTAGGTAATATTTAAGATAGAAATCAGAAAGAATTTAAGTTATTAATTGTTTTTATAAGCATCTTTGAAATTATTATTAAAATAAATAATAATTTCAAAGATGCTATATTATCAACATAATAATTTCAAAAAATTAATTTCCCTATATCAAATGCATGTCATTTGGGTTTTTAGTCCCATTTCATTTACCTAGTGATAAACCCAAATAACATACATTTGATATAGGCCTAGGAAAATTAGGTTTTTTGTTATTTGCACAAAAACTAAAAGAGATAGCCTAAGAAGTAAATTACAAAGTTAAGAATGAAAAAACCCATTAAATGATGTGCCACTTGACATGTTGCTATTTGAAAATTTTGAACAATGGGCAATTGCTAACTTTCAAAATTAAATTTTTTTTGAATTTTCATTATTTAAAAAATCTGTTACTTGTAGCATTTCACAGTAAAGCTAATTTCGTAAACTGCCGCCATTTTGAAACGGAAAAAGATAATTCATTCATGTTTTGGCCAAAATGTTTGTCTATTAAATACCTTCAAAATTATGTACAGTATAACATTCTACTAATGTTAGAATCTAGATGCAATTTTAAGACTGTTTTACTCTTTACATTTTCGCTCTGAACGTAAGTCGTTTAGGAGCTAAATGATGCAGAATGTACACCGCAAGTCATTTTTTCTTAGTTTTAACACGCTGTAACTTTAAACTTAAGCTCCTAAAGCTTAAGAGAAAAAAAATGCCACTTATATAAACGTTTTTAAATTGCATTTTCTTTCTAAAACAATCATAAAATATAGGGTCTTTTGTAAGAAAAATCAAAGTTGGCGGCTATATTGGAAAAATGGCGGCTTAAATTATTTTTTGAACTTGACCAAAATTTTTTAAATAAAAAATCCAAGGCAGTTACAATTTAACATTTGTTTATATCTCTTATAACTTTTGAAAAAAAAAAAGCTGGCACACTTATATCAATTACCCTGTATATATATAGGGGGCCTATATATATATATATATATATATATGAATTTGAACGGATGGTGTTTTTGGCCTCTAGGGAACTCGAGATCGGTACTGGGTCCTGGTCTTACCATGAGACCTACAGTAATAGGCCTAGCTTATTCCCTATACCTATAGGAAATTCGCTAAAAGCAGCATTATTGCTGGCCACCAAATTTTACTTAAGTAGTTTTTTTGTTTATAGATATGTGAAGAGGACAGATTGCCCAATTTAATTTGTGACAATTGTTTGAATCAACTTGATGATGCTTACAATTTTAAGAAAAGGTGTTTGGAAAGTGAATATAAGCTGCGGCAGTATTTATATACACCATTAAAACCACTCAGTACTGCCACAAATGAGCTGAAGACCTATGATGTAGAAAAGGTAAGAAACTTCCAATGTAGGTAAGGTAAATACAGAATGTTATAGGTCTAATCTAAATACAGTAGCTAACCCCCTTATGTAACCAACAATCAAAAAATTACACCTACTTCCAGTCTTTAAATACCTTGTACCTCACAGGAGTTAAAGCCAATGCTTTAGATCAGTAGGTCAAGATAAACTAAACTCCTGACTAATTGAAATAAGGAGTACGAAGCCGTTTCATCCAACCACTCGGTTTATAAATTATTAGAATTTGGATTCTTAGCTATTTGGCTTAAAGTAGTGTAGAACAGTTGTTTTTAAATGAACAAACTGTTATCTTAAAATCTACAACCAAACGTAAAGAAAAAAACTAAAAAAAATTTATAACTATTAATGTTTTGAGCTTCATACAGTACAACCAAGCTAACCCTTCACATGTGAGACTCGGATCGTGGCCAAGACAGTGAAAAGGTCGGGTTAGCATGTTCAGGAATTTGTCAAAACCGCCAAAGACAATGATGACTTAACCGTGGAATTTGTTTCCGTACTGCTGAACTTTAAACCCTTTGCAGACAGCTATGGAGTATTCCAAATTGGGTCTTTCAGAAGAGGTTGCCAATTTTTGGTTTACCAACAGGGTGCAGTACTATTATTTTTTACATTTATGACAACATCTATCCTATAAAGGACATAAAGGTTAAATTTTGTTTTTAAACGGCTCATGTGTAACTATTTTATCAACAGATGTAAAGATCAAAATGTTTCTATTTCGTGTTCTCTTCCCGTTGCAAAGCACGGGTACAACAGCTAGTAATTTTATAAATTTAAGTTATTAATAACAAAAAATATGTGCAAATATGTTAATACCCATGACGTATTACACAGATTCATTAGTAAACATAGTTATAAAATGCAATGTATAATTGTACAGGTAAACTTTGTTAAAAATAATTGTTAGTGCCTTCCAACACCCCTCAGCCCCCAACCCCCCTCCCCCCACTCATCAACCAACTACACAGACCACCAAACCAAATGAAAGGCTCAGCATCTTTGCAAATAAAACGCTGAACATTTGCTGATTAAAGTATAAATTTGGTTATATGATTTTGTGTTTATCCTAATCTTATCTTACTAATACTAATATTATAAATGTGAAAGTTTCTTTGTATGTTTGTTTGAAGTTCAATCACGCTTTAACTACTGCTCCGATTGGGCTGAAATTTGGTATGAGATAGCTCACATTCCCGTAAATTTCCATCTCAAAAATCCTTTCGGGCTCCGGCCTAGTGGCTCTGGAGTTTCCCATGTTAACCTTATGAGTATTCATATTTAAAGGGATTAAAGAATTTTGTCAGCTGTTTCAATTACACAAGTTGTTCTATGATATTCAATATTATTAAAAGTTATAAGGTTCACCAACAGGGTGCAGCACTGTTAATTTTTTTCATTTATGACAACACTAGCAGAGTACCTGTCCTTCGTACGGGGTTGGCAAATAAGTATAAAATGCTTATTACAGTTATACCCGATCTTTGCGTTTGCGATGTGAGAAAACACGGTTTGAGAAAATTTGCTTCCTCAAATTTACGGTATGCGATAGGATTACACATCTACCATAGCCATAATGTTCTACTACTTCACCTACACAATAGAGAAAGATAGATTATTAAAAATTTGCAAAATATCATAAATTATTCATGAAATTAAAAACATAAACATAACTGTAAACAATCCTACTTTGACAGTTCTCATTGTGTATCACAGTTTTTTTGTTGCTGCTTAGTTAAAATTAGCTGTTTTCATAAATAATGATAAAATAATAGTGCTGCACCCTGTTGGTAAATCTTGTAAATGTTTAATGCTTTTTCATATCATAGAACCAACTCTTTTAGTTGAAACAGCTGGCTAAATTCTTTAATTCCCTTTAAATATGAACGAGGTGTTAGCCCGTCCTGCGTACGGGAATCATCGATAGTTATATATCGATGACGGGAATTCAGTAGCCAGTTAAAACCGTGTACAATTCAGATCAGCTAGTTTACACATATAAAGACAAAGTTTCTTGCAGTTTTAATGTGACAAATCATCTTGTAAACAAATGTTGTGTGACCAAATATGTTTTTATTCCATCATATGCCTATACGATATGCATTTTAAATCCAATAATTTTACAATAAAACAGCAATTCTGCAATTTTTACGATGTGAAAAGCGTTGAAGTGAGATTTGCAGCCGATTCGCACAGACGCACACTGATTATAAGTAGCCTACAGTAGAGAGATTAATAGTCAATTGAGAAGTGTATAGACCTAGTCAACGATACCACCTTCCATAGCATTAGCATACCTGCCTCTTCCATAATTATTATCACCACAATACATACTATACACAATTTCCAGTAGGTCTGAATAGAAACGACCCAGAATAAAACGATAATATCCAATAAAATTCACAGTACACATAATTTAACTTTGGTGTCCTAACATCAAAACTACAAACTAATCGTCCCACCTATCCTCTATATAAATTTCACTGCATTAATTGCTAAATAAATAAGTGTAAACAAAGTAAAGTAAAAACAATAACAGTTTGTTTTGAAACAGCTGTTTGGTTCAAATAACATTCATTTGAAAAAAAAGAACTGGTCACATAGTAGCAGGAATATAAAAAGTAAACACGCTAGTAAAGCTAATGACGTAATTGTCAATGTTTATTATCCATACCGTTATCAGTTCTACCCTTGATAATTACCCACCCTCATTGAATAAATGTACATCGTAATTTCCCATATTATTTAATTTAAACTACAATATATTCATAGTTGAAATAAAAGTGATATTTTAACTTTTGGGGCGCTGATATAGGCACCCCCAAACGTAACCACAACTGAACAGATTTTTATAAAAGGATGGTTTGTCTAATTGCAGTTTGTCTAATTGCAGTATCCTAGGTCAATGTTGACGTTGTGACGTGTGTCAATCCATGTCATCCATCTTTTTATAAAACCCGGCTGAGGTTGTGGTGGTAATTTAAAATCGTGATTCCTGATTATTCTTGATCTTCTTTTTATGACATCAATATTTCCGGGCCTAATCCAAACAAAGTTAAAGCAGACAAACATAATTGTAAACAAAAAGCTACCATGAAGAATTAAAAATGTAAACATTGTTATTTTTCTAATCTTTCCTTGAAAAGTGGAGCAGTAAAATAATTTGCATTTATCCTTTTTTATTAAGATTCGTGTACAGAGCCTCGATTTGTAATGTGGTTTAATTAATTTTGGTCTAAACTATTTTAAACTATGGTCTAATTATCTCTACTAATCTTACTTATTTCTATTTCCTATAATCAATGACAAAATAAGAGTAAATAACGTCATAGTTCCATAGTTTATATTTAACCAGCTGTTAGTTAAAACAAATTATATAATCCCCCAAAATTATAACATCCTAGTATTTTACTATGTATATATTTAATTAATCTGTCACCCTCTTACAGAAGAATTGAACGTACCAATGATTAGCATTACACATAGTATAAATAAGTCAACCCTAAGTATGTCTTTACATTTTTATCCAAATGCTGAATTTGTGACACAAAAGCTAAATGTTTACAGCTGTTATGTTAAGCAAATTATTTTATGCCAAAAGATAGTTTAGAATCTTAGCGTCGGCTGCTAGACTTTTTAAAAATTAAATCTTAATTTCTAAAAAACTGGGACCCTAAACTAAAATTATGGCTTCGACATTCCCTAGCTCTCAAAATTATCTTTCTTTCAACACAAAAATCATGAAAATCGGTCGAGTGGTTGATTCAGAATCGTGAAATAAAAAAACACTGTTTCGTTTTAATATTATAGATACTCATAAGGTTAACATGGGGAACTGCAGAGCCACTGGGGCGGAGCCCAAAAGGATTTTTGAGATAAGAATATGCCTATATGTTAATCGGGAATGTGAGCTATCATCATGCCAAATTTCAGCCCAATCTGACCAGTATTTTTCGTGTTTACTTGTCACAAACATACATCCATACATCCAAACTTTCTCATTTATAATATTATAGTAGGACAGATAATTTTAACCAAGCAGCAACAAAAAGCTGTGATGCACAATGAGAACTGTAAAAGTAGGATTGTTTACAAGTTAATGTTTTTATAAATAATGTTTCAATATTGTGCGAATATTCGATCATTTACTTTTTTTTGTTTAGGTGTAGTGGTAGAGCATTATGGCTATGGTGTATGTGTTATATAGCTTCCGTAAATTAAAAGAACCAAATTTTCTCAAACCGTGTCCTCTTCCATTGCAAACACAAAGCATGAGTATAACTGCAATGAGCATGTTATACTTATACGCCAACCCTGTACGAAGGACGGGTATTCTGCTAGTATTTCCTATCTGAGACACAACTACAACTACCAACCCTTATTTTTCAGGTGGCCTTGATGCTATTTCTGTCTGCATGGGTAAAGCTCACATGTCATCACTGTCTTTTGTTAATAGTGGCAGAGTAAAAGAAAAACATCAGTATCGTCATATACTACCATTATTTGTTTTGTACAAAGTAACTATGCAGCACTAATTACCTGTACCATTATGATAACAGCCTTTTCATGGGTTGATTTCAAATTAGCCTGCGGCATAACGGTACACATGTGTATTAGAAGTGGTACTGGGTCTCTGCCAGTTACATGTAGTTGATGGATGTAGTTTAGCATCCCTGCATTCTATATTGCTACGTTTGAGCGTGGGATGAGGGCTAGTTCAGAACTCCAACGTGCCCCTGAGCAGAAGACTGACCGCACCACCGCGCCCGCCAGTGACGCACGCAGACAGAAATAGCATCAAGGCCACGTGATAAAAGGAGGGTTGGTAGTTGTGCTCAGATAGGAAATATTAGGATAAACACAAAATCATATAACCAAATTTATACTTTAATCAGCAAATGTTCAGCTTTTTTTTTGCAAAGATGCTGAACCATTAATTTGGTTTGGTGGTCTGTGTGTGTGTGGTTGAA